TGCCAAAAATCATCTATAAACCCTGTTACCACGCTACGACTAGGAAAATTTTTTCTTGCTGGTCGATGTAGCTCATTAGCTATATTCTCTAATATTGTTATTAGACTATAATATTTCTCTCACGTAATTCTTCTAAAATAGATATAATTTCGTTATTTACACCAGTATTGCCAACCAGTGGCGTATCCAGGATTTTTTTGGGGGGGGGGGGGGGGCACACACTGTTTAAAATTTTACTATATATACGACCTACTACCAAAAACTAAAATAAAATAAACCAAATATTTAATGTTTTTAATGCAAATAATTTGTTTATATTTTCAGTCAGTCAGATTTAAGTATATATATATATAAATAATAATAAATAGTAATAGTACCTAATTTAATAATAAAAACGGTTTAATCCCAGAAAAATTATAAGTGCATAAAATTATACTCAAAATTACACACAAATTATACAATTGTATAAAATTATTTTGACCAATCTATGAGTTGCAATTTTCTTGGTGCTTTTTCTGCAAAATCCTCAATAATTTCAGTTTCTGAAATGACCTCTTTTTTATTTATGTTTACTAAAGCTAATCTATTTAGTCTATTTTCAGTCATTGTTGATCTTAAGTAGGTTTTCAGTCGTTTTAAGGTAGAAAAAGTACGTTCTGGCGTAGCTGTTGTAACAGGAAGAGTTGTGAATATTTGTAAAAGCAATTTTATATTAGGCACAATATTTGTACATTAAGGTAAAGTCTCAATAGCGGTTTGAGGTTTATTCACTGTGCTATTTTGTCCATCGTCTTTCCATTGATTTTGCCATATACTTAATTCAGCCTTTAATGTAACAATCGCATTTAAGAGGCAGTCACTGTAAAAGTGAAACGTATACAACGCTCAATAGATGGCGTTGTGCGCTATATCGTCGCCGTCGCGGCAGACCGTAACCCCGCCCATTATATCCTCGACTTGGTCGGCGGCACTCCGCGCGCACTATTTTCGGGAGCGGTACATTATTACTACGCTAGCGGTCACGATGTGCGTTTGACATATTATAATATTTCGCGTGTACTTATAATATTTTATGCACTCGGCGCGTTTGCTCCTCGCTTTGCGCTCACAAGTCACAACCTACGACCTACCACCTACCTTACCTACTAATTTACTTATGTTCATTATAATTTTTAAATGTGTACAAATATATAAAGCACAACAACGTATACACAACATAGCTTGATTTACATTCATAGCATAATTACCAACTTTTGAAATATACATACTATGAAATACCTGTGTACCTATATTATTCTAAGTTTGAATTATTTTTTTTTAACATTGGTAATTTTGTAATTATTACACATTTTATATTAGGTATTGAGGATTATTGTTATATGACATTATTTACATTATTTTGTTCAACATTTTGTATCAATGTATCTATGTATTTCTAATGTGATCATTCATCTCAGCGACGGGCGTGCTCATAATCTAATTAAATATAATAGACAATAAGTAGCATTTATTTTCTACCCAAATTAAAAAATATTTATTTATTCAAAAATAAAAGAAGACATTATTATGTTGATAGATTCGAGTATAGGTGAGATGCTGATATTGGAAATAAATCATCTAGAAAAAAAATGATATTGTATTATTATATATAATAGTATTATGGGTATTTAATAAACCTATGTAGGTAATAAGAAAAGTAGAAAAATACTTTTTTTTGGCTGCTTGTTCTTTTAAAATTC